AGAGGGAGAAGGGCAGGGAAATGACACTCTTTAGGAATATTTTTCCCCAGAAGTCTCTTTCAATTACTTGTTACCAATGAAAAGTAAATTATTTCTATTTATTCTAAACTTCAGTGGTTCACATCATCAGATGATACACAAATTATATGCCTCATAATACTGTCTTTTCTTCTCAAACAGTTTGTTCGAACTAAACTCAAAGTAGTCTGTCCTCTCCTCATTTGCCCTGTGTCATGCACAGGGCACACTGCTGAATTAAGTGTTTTGTAGCTGACACATATGAAGAAGAGAGAGAACTTCTCAAAGTCAAAAATAGGAGATGGGGAGCAATCTCAGTAAAACACATATGCATAAATGAATCAGATTACACTACTCTGTGATTATTTGGAAAACATGAAAGTTCAGTTTAGTCTGTCCCATAGATTTTTACACTAGGTTCATTCCAGTCAGTGTTTTAAAAGGGTACGTTAAGTATTTAATTATGTGATTAGACTAAAACCTTTCCGTTTTACATATATCTTAATTCTTTTCCACTGAAAGTTTAAAAATGTATATTATTCACATAACTTAGGTATTATAGTTTCTATCAAATGTAGTGTCACTGTTAACACAAATTTCTACTCTGTGTTATCTGCTACAAACTGCAAACTACAAACACTAACAGAATACTCATCTTTAAAAATGCCATTAAATAAATATCTGTAAAATATTTACTATAAAAGCGTTCATGCACATTGAGCATGAAAAAAAGATTATCAAACACACTGCCAATTGGAACAAAAATTGTTGATCTGGAGATGTCTTCCACTCACTCTAGACACTGTTCCTGGACAGAGCCAAAAGACAAACAAGGAACTAGAAAAGTGGTCATTAGACCATAACCATCTTAATGAACACATTTGGGAACCATTGGACAAATGATTTGTCTTTAAGTCATGCAATTCACAAGTTCATTTTATTGGAAAGGGAGAAATGCTGCCAGAATTCCCACTGTCGTAGCTTAGATGCACTATTATTTCCCCTCTACCCCTAAACAAGCTTGAAAAAGAGAAAAGAGAGGAAGGGAAGAAAGTACAGAGGTAGGAATGCTGTCATCCTGTTAACAGCATGTAAAACTCCATCTCCCTTCCTCTTCAGAAACTCCTTCTCCTCATCCACACCTAATTCACCATGAAAACACCCAGACACTGTGTGGAATAGGGAGGTACAAGTCTGTAACTCCCACCTGCTAAGTTTCAGCAATCCTTGTATCATAATTTTAGCCATTAAATCACTCAGTTAAGGAAAGGCAATGAAAAAGACATTAGTCTGTAAAATCAATGTAGTTAAGTGGAGAAGGTTTTCTCCAGCTCTAAAATGAGCTCCCAAATCTACATCTACTCTATTCATAATGATGAGGAAATGGATAGTTTACACACTGCTTGTACAAAAATTGCTTCTGGAAGCAATCCTTCCTTATGGGTGCGCTGTAGTCACAAACTTGTTCTGCACCTCTCTACAAAGAGGTTGCAAAACCTTTTAGGGCCTCATCTTTCTCAGGAAGGCTGCAATGAAAAGCATTAATTTTCCTTGGCAATTCAGGTTAAGTACAGCCCCTCTCCACTTCTCAGCGACAGCACTGCACAGTAGTGCACAGCAGTTCTCCCATTTGGCAGCTGAAGCTATGTACTGTGTACCTGGGATGGAAAGACAAAAAGGGGGCTGGTAGAAAGCTAACAATCAAAATTAACCAACTCCTCTTCCACCAGCCTCATTCACAATAACCATTCATATGAAGCACCCATGAAAGTCATACTCATAGCATTGAATTCCAGCCATGACCATAAAACAAGAACTAACTCAACTCACTGAAGCAAGAAGCTAGGAAATTTCTTAGTTCTGTCTAGAGTTATAATCTGTTCTTCCACTCACACTGAATTTCTGTGAGATTGTTTGATTGTATCAAACTCCTTGGAAAGAGATAAGGACGGACAGCTCAACATACTGGCACACTTTATAAATACTGCATTTTTTTTTTTTTTCAGTAGGTTCCCAATTTGGCCAGTATGTTTCAGAAAAGAGGTTTTGCATATAATTACTTTACCATTCCAAGGACAAAGGAAATAATAAACATATTTTGAAGATATACAAATCATAAACACCCATGCAAACAACAACCACCTTGTGCTGTTACAGTTAGCCCTGCGATGTTAACTTTTTCTGTACACATCCTTTGCAGCTGTTATCTCCAGCTTTCACTTACTACCATGACATAATCAGCATTTCAAAGAAAGGAAAGAGTCTATTTTTCTGTGAAATACCTAGTATATTAAACAATCAGAACAAATTCTTCTTTCTCTGTTTCTACTCAGCAGGTCTGATAATGGAGTTACTTAGCAACAGATGAAGCAACTGAACTGTGCTGTTGCCTGATCCACATTTCATTGTAAAGTAACACTCACAAAGGCATTATTTAGTTGCTGGCTGCCTCTGTATAGATGTATTTTTGAAGTATAAAATCCATTAGTCTGAGACAAGCCTACATGAAAACCCAGCCATCACGTACCATCTATAATGGACTACACATTTTGAAATTAAGAGAAATTGCCTGTAAGTCACATGATGTTGAGCACCTCTGAAAAAGGAAGAAATAAGAAAATAAAACCCAAAATACACAGATTGAATTTACACTATGCATACAAAAAGCTACAGAAGCTGTTTAAAAAGGGGGGGAGGGTTGGGGGGGAGAGGAGTCTTCTTCCTATAGCAGACTGATAATCTATGAACTTCAAACACACAAATCAAGCCCTCGCATATCAACCACACTTTTCTTGCCACAGAATATTTTGATTTCAGATAATGAATACTTACTTGTTTTGAAAACCAACACACACACACTTCCCCAAAACACTTTCTTCACCAAAATAGTAGGAAGACGTGCTACAGCAAATATTAACAGTGTTTTTATTTTAGAAAGCAGTCTTGAAAATAAAAATAACTCACAGAATTTGACAAATCAAACAGTTGATTGTCATTTGCCACCAATCGTTACTTCCTTTTAAGTTAACTTTGCGGCATTAAACAATTCCCTTTTTTTTAATCTCTTTTTTTTCCTCCTTTTTTTCAGAATTTATTTTGAAAGGTGAGCATATTTATTTAACAACTTTGTGAGAACTTCCAAGTTTTCCTGGTTCATCACACAAAATTACACGTTCAGCAAAACTTGAAAGTCTCTTGCCCCTAGCAAGGGGAAAGCACATCAGTTTCTGCAGCTTTGTCATTTAGTGGAATCATTCAAGTGTTACTTTATTGTAAAGATTCAACACCCTGGAGTTCATACCAGCTTTATGACTTATTTCACACCTACATTTCTAGACAAGATTTAAAGACCTGAATTTGGACTTTACAAAGCTAAATCAAGTTGCTTGACAAATTTTTAGAAGAAATAATTAAAAGAAGTTTCCTATTCATTTGAGAGTATGTATTTTTGTCTTACAATGAAAAATTAACATTATGTTTCCAATAATGAAGGCAACCAAATAAAGTGCAAGTGAAGACCATCTTTTCTGATTGTCTTAAAAACATGAAGATACTTCCTATGTTGCATTTCAATTGAGAACTTAGATGACGTTTCAGGTAAGAAAACCAGAGCACTTTTAACTGCTAACAAATGAGTTGTCAGCTTCTTAGGTTACATTTTAGACTATAAAGAGAACAAAAACTTCAATGGTAAGAAGTGTAAGGCATATCTATAAGGAAGGTCAAATTAACAGCTTACCCAGATACCTTCCAATGAGAATGCACTTATGTAGGAATTTATACACACAATCTTTATGTACAACTAATTAATCTTTCACATACAACTATGTAAGCCTTGACTATGCACCACAAGATTTTTATTCTTCATTCAAAGATAAATAATCCTACAAATTTACCTGCCTTTCTCCAGTTAATTTTTGCAGGAGTATGCTTTCCTTCCAGGCTTCTTGGAACTTTAATTTCCCTTTTTTTTTTTTAAATTAAACATTTTATGTATTAAGATAAGCATTACAAAGACTAATCTTGACAGGATTCAAGATTTTGTTTCAGTAACAGGGGACACGCCCCTTTTTCTGCATTTGAATTATTCTGAGATCTCAGCTTTGGCCATTATCTCCTATTTCTCAACTTCCTACAATTCTGATAAAAACAAATAAATGACGGTTTATATTAAAGCCATTCTCAAATGAACAAGCGTACACATTAGTGTCTGTTTGCCTATTTGAAGCCAAATATCAAATGAGTCTGAGTACAAGGTATGCCGTTTTCTTACAAACGCAATTTATTTGGTCCAGTTTTCAAACTAACAGTTATAACCCTGACATTACCTCGTAGTTCAGAATTTAACTGCAAGCAAATTTTTCTACTTACACTTGCAAGAAAAAAATAAAAATTAAAGCCAGTGTTCTACTATACCATTGCAATAGATACTGGCTTTCAACATTAGAAACCATCATTTCAGAGACTGCTTATAATTAGGACACAAGGTAGTCCTCAACAACTTGCTTCCACTAGCACCAGCACACTATTCTACTGCATCCTGATGAGAAAGTGACATATTTCAAGAAAACGTTATCAAAGCGTATTATTTGTAATCAAGAACCCAACCTCCAAAAATGTTTTAGTTTAGGTAAGTTTGTACTTTCTGTTGTAGAAAAATGCACTGGTATAAACAAAAGAAGCATTCCATATGGACTAAACACTTTCCTATGCAAATCAAGCATCTCCCAAACAATTAACTCCTGGAATGCAATGTCAAAACCAAAAGTTATTATGTATCTGAGTAGCATTAGCTTAACTTGAACTTTGAGTCATCTTCTGAGCTATCTCTGTAGAACCTAAACTGTGACTGCTAAGGAACATTTGTAAGCAATTCATTGTCAAAAAGCAGCTATTCAGAAGAAAGTTTTAAACAGATAAAAAGCAAAAGAAAGCTTTTACAATAAAAATGCTGTGGAAAATAAATCATGACATGTACTTACTAATTTGTTTTCTTGCATGTATATTCTTTGCAACTTCAGACAGCCTTTAGCTATAATGATCATTCCTTCATCTGAGATCTTGTAACATTGTCCAAAATGAATGTCTTTCAATTCTCTGCATTTTGATCCCAGCTGTAATCAATGAAATAAAAAAAACATACTTAAGAATAAGGGCAAAAAAACCAACAGGATTTGACTGAACCAGACAGCTGGGAGCTAAGATTTTTTTCTGCTTCTCTACCACCCCTTAAAGATTATCTTTCTTCAGTTTTTGTAAGTACTATAGACAAGCAAGAAAGACTATAATTACACACATAACAAAATGAAGCTCCTAACTACACTCAAGGAAACGGAGGTAAGAGCAGCACATAAGAACCAAGTTATTTATCGGACACATATATAAGTTCATAGCAATGCCTGTATGCTAGACCATCGACAGCATATTTGATTCAACACAGAGCTTCACAGCTTACCCTAAATACTCCTTGAACACAAGAGACAATTGATGAAACTGTCTGGTGTAGTCTCCAATGAACAACATTCATTACACCACGAAAATATGTTCGTAACCTAATTATTAAAGCAGAAGAGGTCATCCGATTTAAATTAAATCCTAGAGGAGGGTACCTTCTTTTCTGTCACTTTTTTCACCTGGTAAGAAGTTGAAAAATACTAAATCTATAAAAGAAATTTATGGAACAGAGGTTTACCTGCTTTAGACCTTCATCAGTGAGTCTGTCTTGATTGCCTACATGCACTTTCTGAAGAAGAGGACACTGAGAGGCAACCGCAATAATGGATGTGTCAGAAAGCTGTTTACATCTGTAGGCAGTATACCTTAGGAGTCCAGGACATTTAATTGCTAATATGCATACTCCTGTATCAGATACATTGCGACAATCAGAAATATTGATTTCAGTAATATTCTGGCTTCTTGAGGCTATCTTTTCCAACAGCTCATCGGTGACCTGCAAAGAAAATCCAAACATTGAAACTTAGACATCTTAAATTTCACTAAAACATTTGTAAGATGCATTTCCATAAGCTACTAGGAGAATGAAAAGATCTGTTTTCCATGATACAAGCATACTGGTATGTTTTACAGGTATCTTTAAACAATTCTGCTCCAACACTCGGAGGGAATAACAGCTAATGGTCCTCTTCATGATTTTAGATGAGGAATTCTCTGTCCTTTAGAAGAAAAGGATTTACTTGCCTTTCTACAGCAGCACGCTACTCACATACTTAAGGTAGCATTTACAGAAAGTAAAGGGTTTATGTGTCTCTGAAATGCAACAGGTTTTCACTTAAGCTTTGGTAATCATCCAAAACCAGCAGGTAACAATGGGCTTCTTAATGGAAAACAGTCACTTAAGGTAGCAGTGAATGAAAGGGATGAGACAGAAAGAACACTAACAAAACTAAAAAAAGCAAGCTAATTAAAACCCAGAAGTTTCCTCCTGCTATTTGCTCGATTTTAAAACAGAATACATGCATATTTTAAGTGTTATTCTATGAAAGACCATTAAATCAGATTATGCAGTATTTTCCCAGAGCTCCTTGGAAGAAAAAAAGATTCTACCTGCTTTGTACCTGTACACATTGTAGTTAGCTAACATGCCAATAATTTTAAGAGTAGCCAGTCCTACAAAGCAGGTAAGAAATATAAGATATTCCTCATGCTCAAGCTTACAAGTTAACACAAAACCAAAATGAAAGCAGGTAAGACACAATGCATAGAACTCCCTCACTTTAAAAGTTTAGTTTCAAAAAATGTAGTGACCTATGATAAAAGTCTAACAAAACCATTCAGGAGTACTTGTCCAGATGAGATTTAGTTTTAAGCCTGGAGATGGCAAGAGAACAGCACAAATCCCTCTTGTTTTTCTCTTGCACAGTTGAGAAACAAACACTTTCTTTGCTTCATTCAACCTGTTTTCCATTAGTAGAAAGTATCTTTTTCCTGCTATTTCATCAGGGAGCTGTGAGCTACAAAACAACTGAAAAAACCACCACAACTCACCCACAGACAATGCCTAAACAAACAACCCTCATCTACCCACTCTACCC